GACATGTGACATGTAGAAAAGGACATGTGACATGTTAAAAAGGACATGGGACATGTAGAAAAGGACATGTGACATGTAGAAAAGGACATGTAGAAAAGGACATGTAGAAAAGGACATGTAGAAAAGGACATGTGACATGTAGAAAAGGACATGTAGAAAAGGACATGTAGAAAAGGACATGTGACATGTAGAAAAGGACATGTGACATGTAGAAAAGGACATGTGACATGTAGAACAGGACATGTAGAAAAGGACATGTGAAGCACAGAGAGTGGGAACCCTCAGTGGGGTTTTTCACATGGTTGTAGATGAGTTCTGGTCCACTCTTCTTTCCAACGTTCCTTCAGTTCATTCAGGTTCAATAACCCTAACCTCTAACCGCTGAAGTCTTCCTGAACCCTGACAGACCAGATGTGTTTCACTTTGTATTACAACTTAAAATAGTCTTTATTTTAGGAAATGGAAAGCTGTCACTGGCTCTGTTTTCTGTCAGATTAAAAATAATAAAATAATCTTTAATTATAAAACAGACATTTAGTGTTTTGAGAATGAATTTTTTTATTGATGTTTGTTATTCTTCTAAGTGAATATATTTGAACACTTAAATGTTCCTTCAGCTTGTTTTCTTTATTCATTTAAAGTTCAGTTCAATTCTGACATGTAAATATAAAAACCTACTGAAAGAAAAGGTCAACTCATTTACAGAATAGATGGTTTTATTGAGCATATAAAACATGATCTTCACCACCACACAACACCTGAGTTCATATTTACACACTAAAACACAAAACAAGTGGTTCAAAACTGCAAGAAGAAATATTTAATCAGTTTTCTGATCAATGCCTCAGTTCAACACAAGTGACAGTTTATTCACAGGAAAGTGCAAAGTTGTGAAAAAGAGTTCATTTTAAATCAGTGCAAAGAATAGAATAATAAAATAGAATAAAATAAAATAAAATAATAAAAAATAAAAATCAGTTGTCACATTCCCTTTACAACCTAACAGCATCTTTCATTCAAAATATATTAAATATATCAATATCAACTTATTTCTCTAATTGTTTTTAATTTGTTGCTTCACAATCTGAAATTTCATTTGAATCAGAAAGAATTTTACAGAACTCCAGAAAACTGAAGACAAATAGAAAAATACTTGTTTTAAAAGAGGACACGTCTGACAGTTCATCTTTTGAGCCATTAAACACATTTTGTTGTTTTCTTAGAGTCTGAATGTGGACCTGCACTCATGACGTCACTCATATCATTGGTTAGGGTTAGATTACCTGCTGCACTCACAAATGATCGCACAATCTGAGTGTATTCTACAGAGATTCAGTGTTAACACTGTAACGGATAGACATGTTACAGTGTTAATACAGAGATTCAGTGTTAACACTGTAACAGATAAACATGTTACAGTGTTAATACAGAGATTCAGTGTTAACACTGTAACAGATAAACATGTTACAGTGTTAATACAGAGATTCAGTGTTAACACTGTAACAGATAAACATGTTACAGTGTTAATACAGAGATTCAGTGTTAACAC